TCGCAATCACTTTGGAAAGTGCTGAATCATTTCAGAAAAGTATGTAATCACTTCTGCAAGTTCTGAATCACTTTGGAAAGAATTGAGTCACGTTGCAAAAGATAGAAATCGCTTCAGAAAAAACTGAATTACTTCAGAAAATTTCGGAATCACTTTAGACAGAACTGAATCAATCCAGAAAGTTTTTTTAAATCTCTTTTGCAAGTATTAAATCACTTCATAGCAGTTTCTAATCGCTTCAGAAATAACTGAATCATTTCAGAATTGTCGGAATCACTTAACCACATATGAAAATTCCGACACCACTTCGAAAAGTACTGAACCAATTCATAAGTAAGTGAATCAGTACTTTCCAAAGTAATTCCAAACATTATTTAAATAGTTTAGTACTTTCCGAATAATTCAGAAATTTTCTAAAGTGCTCCAGTTATTTTCAAAGTGATTTCGATTTTTTTTTCCAAAGAGTGCTTTTCGAAAATATTGCTGTCTTTTTTGAAGTGATTAAGTTCTTTCGAAGTGTATCCAAACTTTTATGAAGTTATTCACTACTTTCCGAAGTGATTTCGAATCTTTCTTAAGTGATCAGCACCTTCCGAAAATTTTCCAAACTTGTTGTTGCGATTCCGCTCTATTTGATCTTACTCAAGCAGTGTTGCCAAAGTACTGAATCAGTTCATAAAAGTATATGAAATTACGAAACTACTTAATTATTTCAGAAATGTTCGTAATCACTTTGGAAAGTACTGAATCATTTCAGAAAAGTGTGTAATCACTTCTACAAGTTCTGAATCACTTCGGAAAGAATTGAGTCTCATTGGAAAAGATAGAAATCGCCTTAGAAAATTTCGGAATCACTTCAGAAAACTTTAGATAGTACTGAATTATTCCAGAAAATTTGTTAGTATTGAATCACTTCATAGCAGTTTCTAGTCACTTCAGAAATAGCTGAATCCTTTCAGAATGGTCGGAATCACTAAACCACCTAAGAAAAGTTCGAAACCACTTCGAAAAGTACTGAATAAATTCTTAAGTAAGTGAATCAGTACTTTCCAAAGTAATTCCAAATATTATTTAAATAGTTTAGTACTTTCTGAATAATTAAGATTTTTTCTAAGTGATTCAGTTATTTTCAAAGTGATTTCGAATTTTTCCAAAGAGATTCAGTGCTTTTCGAAATTATTGCGGTCTTTTTTGAAGTGATTAAGTTCTTTCGAAGTGAATCCAATCTTTTATGAAGTTATTCACTACTTTCCGAGGTGATTTATAATGTTTCTTAAATTATCAATACTTTCCGAAGTAGTTCTCAACTTTTTTAAAGTGATTTAATTATTTTCCGAAGTGATTTAGAATATTTTTTAAATGATCAGTTTTTTCCGAAGGAGTTCTGAACTTTTCTAAAGTGATTCAGTTATTTTCAAAGTGATTTCGAATTTTTCCAAAGAAATACAGTGCTTTTCGAAATTATTGCGGTCTTTTTTGAAGTGATTAAGTTCTTTCGAAGTGGATTCACTTTTATAAAGTGATTCACTACTTTCCGTAGTGATTTCGAATCTTTCATAAGTGAATCAGTACTTTCCGAAAATATTCCAAACTTGTTGTTGTGATTCCGCTCTATTTGATCTTACTCGAGCAGTGTTGCCATCTTCCTGCAGAGTTGCTTGTCATTCATTGACTCATACTCCAACTTTGCTGAAGACTTGTAATCATTATTTTGGAACAATACCTATACATTGAGTTTCATTTCATTCTACCCGAGAAGTGTTGCCATCTAACGACAGAAATATGAAGCAACCATCGTCACCACCTCTTGAAGCCCACTTCAACTTTGCTGAACATTTGATATCGTTATCATGAAACGAATCCGAGATACCGAGCTCTATTTGATTCTAATAGAGCAGTGCTGCCATCGTTCGATAGAATTTAGAGTCTTTCATGGCATTCTTCAACTTTGCTGGACATTCGAATTCGCTATCTTCCGGAACATCCTCTCCTGCCATCTTCCGGAACATCCTCTGCTTGAGCCTCAAGCTCTTCAACGAAAGACCTTTTCACCGTTGGATCTTCAGGTCAGCGTGTGTTGAATCGTCGCCCGAGTCTCTCCTTCCGTCGCTGAACTCGCACAATGCGTAGGCGATTCTCACCGATTGGAAGGTGGTTCTCAGATGCGATGTTGGCACCGCGTTTATTCCGGACATCAAGAAGGCTTCATTTTTGGCTGATGCAGATGTGGTCGATTTAATTTTCAGTATGCCCATCACGGGAAACCCACGTCACTTTGCGCAGTGGTCGATGGGGGAAGAGCTTTTTTATCCGTGACCATAGCATTCCACGCTCATAGTTCATGTTGTCGAAGCCGATTTTCACATTAAAGTCACCCGTATCGATCGTGATGCCACTATGGAACCGTATTTCACGATGGCATTTAGTTGCCTGTAGAAATTCGCTGTGTCCTGTAGCTTAACATTGGATTATGATAAGCTTTTGAACCTGTAGTCTTAATCTGGAAAGGATTATCGTCTCATTAATAGGCTTCCACTTGATAAGCGTGGCATGAGCCTGAACGCTAAGCAGGAAACACACTCAATGGTGCCGGGGAGCGTTCTCATCTCATATACCTGGATATAACAGTACCCATCCCGACGAAAATTTTTGTTCTCCAAAGTTCAGCCAACGGATTTCACTTGGTTCCAGCATTTCAAGCTTCATGTGTCGCGCCAAACATTTCTTGATTGTTTACCTCCAGGTATCTACTCATGTTTCTTCTGCAACTATCCGCAATGGGCAGTTCTTTACGAGTATTGGTGATAATTCATCAAACTTGCTTGATTTCTTTGTTGAGGCTTCGTCGTCTTGAGCCCCTGGATCTGTCTTTTCATTGCTCTACTGGATCGATCGATCCAGCAATGGTTATTCGATGGCTCTGGTGGTGCAATGGTTATTCGATGTCTCTGTTAATTTATGATTCACTATAACATACCGAGCACCCCCAGTGGATGGGTCATTGCGGAAGTTTCCCATCCTGGGTGATTGTTTGCTTTCGCCTTGACATGTCATCCGGTTCTGCTTCTGCTGCGATGTCCTGCTGAATCCAGCACTTGATTTCGTTTCCGTTCCTTCGTAGTGTGGGGCCAGCTCATCTCCTATTAATTACGTTAGCAAATTTCTGCTGATATCGGCTTCTGATGACGTCGATGATGGATCTCAGCAATCGACATCCCGTTGTGAGCCACCAGGCACGATGAAAATTTACCTGCACCTCTTGAGTTTGTTTCCGCCGATATGCATCATGTTTCGCTGTTGTTAGGCTAAAGAAAGCCCACAAGATAATTGGGTCGTTTGAAAATTCTTACACCAGCACGTGCTGAATTTGGAAACGCATGCCTTTTGCTTTTTCAAATGTGTTCACTGTATTTGATGATTTTTTGGTCTACTAATTAAAGATTCAAGAATGATTTGAGTTATATTCTTGTCAACCTGTTACACGTTGTTGGTTGTTTGCGGCCCGCTGTTCCTTGATCTAGACCCCAATGACCGTCAGATGATCCTACAGCTCTTCTTCATCGCACTTTCTGAATACCAGCCACATTCACACCAACTATTTTTTGCAATTCACCTACGACCTACGACCTGACATCTGACAGCAAAATGATTCCCAATAGGAGAAACTTGGTTCCCAACTGGAAAGTGATTTGTTTGAATTAAACAAGCGTAACTTCTAACGCCATGAGTATGGAATGTAGATTTCCATCACATAAGTAAAAATAATGTATCAACATCCAGTAAGAAGCTTTCCAGCAAATGCACAAATCCTAGTTCATGCCATTCCATATCGCGCTTTTATGAGTGTTCGATTTTATCCATACCGTTTTAGGAAGCTGGTTTGACATTTTCCTTAAGTTTGGTTTGACTGTGTGATTGTACATTCTATGCCAACACTCTTTAAAAAAATCTCTGTAAATCTTATAATTTGTTTTTCAACTAAATTTAAAATTTGATTTCTTATCCTCTCAGCAATCATTTCCCTGTACGACATATCCAATTAAAAATGCGCTATTCTCAGATGTGTGTGCGAGATGTAGCGACCTCTGCAGTTATCTTTCTCTCTTTAGTTCATAACTCTTTAGTTTCATTTTATTTTTTTACGGTCACCTACTTTTCTCAACATATCTGGATATTTTGCATGTCACCAGCACGATGATTTTCTTCTCTTTTCATTCTTGTACAGATATCCTAGTATTCATTCACAGTTAGGTTCAAACGACAAGAGATCAAATCAAATCGCATTCAACCAATATCTCATGTTCATTTGAAGATTTAAAAAAAAAATGATCAAATTGCTCTATCTAAGCGGTACGTGATTTCTCTAAAATTGGACATGATTAAATTTGTTCCAAAGTGAAAGAAAAAACAGCTCGTTCGGTGACACATTTGCTTACCATCAAACTGCAGCAACTTCGTCCGTGATATTATTAGTCAAAGGAAGTTGCGAATGACTTTGCAGCGAACAAATGTGGCACCGCGAACGTGTTTCGAAGGGATTGTTGGGATATGATGGTCACTGCGATTCGCTTGAAACCGAATGTGTATTACCAAGGGTATCGATAGGAAAGAAGCCAGTTTTATCGTTATGAACAATTACCATTTTAGCGATGCGCTAGCTGCAGCATAATATTTTCAAGGTGCAAAGCATAAACAGGCAACCGTCAGATCGTCATCGTCTTACCATCATCGTCGAAGGCTAGTGTACTCTTCAGATCATCACACTGTAACAAATACTCCAGTAAAATAAAGTACAGCTCAAACCCCAGAAATATACAAAAACCCAGTCAACACCATTCACCACTAACATTTAGTTACGCTTTTCGTTAATTTTTGCGCTGGAAAAAAAGAAACAGAAAAAAAACGACCACGGTATTGCAGAGTTCCTTTTGTTAAGCATTATTTTACTTTACTTTTTCATTTCTATTCTCTTTTTTCTCAACATATTTGCGACCTTTCAGATGTTGGCATGATTATGATGCAGACAGGAATGGTAAAGCAGGGCCTTAACTCCGCCTGTCACACTTACATCGACGGTACGATCTTTATTTTTGTTCTGAATTTGCATCAACCAAACAAATTCAAATTAATTAAATAATCAAAAAAAAAAAAAATGCAATCTTTTATTATTTCTTCTCTAAAATAACCTCTATTTGAAAACAAGCGCTAATCGTTATCTTTCGCCAGTTATATCTTTGCAAATAATCTTCCCTACTTTCCGTTTCCGTTTTGTTCGTTTAAATTTAGTTTCGTTTCGATTATTTCCGCACATGTTGAATAAAAAAAAAGAAGTTTCGTTCGGTTACTGATTCGCAAATACTGTCTATTTCCCTAATCATCGTTGATACATATTTGTTTTATTTTTCTATACTGGTTAAAGGCTAGACTGTGTTGATTAAAGTTTAATGAATAATGCCACTTATCTGTTTGTTGGTTACGTAAATCTTATTGCCAGAGATTCCAATACTTCCAGCTGAAGAAAAACCCCAATACATTATGAAATGCACATCACTGCTATCACATTGTGTTGCAAATCTATTCTCCCACAAATTCTTCACACCCTCTCTACTAACCTCCATTGTTGAAGGTAGAAACAACAACAATGAAACAATATACCAACTGTACTTATCATTATTTGCCAAACCTCCTTAAAATAGCTGCTAACGACAAAATGGAGCCACTTCTATTGCTCGTCAAAAATGATTTTCCCTCTGTTAATCCATCGGCTTCCACCGCTTGTTTCTTTCCCTTTTCTTCCTTCTGGACTCGGAGTGAAGTAGTTGAAAAGTTGCACAAGTTTACTCATTTCTGTCTCTTTCCTGATCCACCGAATGCAATTACAATTGATTAACGCTTGGAAACTGCCCATTTTCCCTGTCTGGAATTAGGCGCTTGATTCCTTTCCTGAAAAATGATGCATGATTGATACAATTTTTTATTAGATCTGTCCATTTTAGTAATTTTACGGTGATTCTAAATATCGGTCACACAGTGTGGTTTTTGGGTATTTCCATTTCCCGAATAGTGACGTAAGACATCTATTTGTCAGTTATTCCGGATCCGATTTGTTCGCAGATCGGGAAGGTTAACTCCAGTAACAAGGTTATCAAAAGTCATGCATAATGGTCCAAGATGGTCTTGATCAAGTAACGATAGCCATCCATCTATAGCCAATAGCCATCAAATAACGATAATAACATAATAAGGGCTGGTAAATATCACGGCCGTCAAGCGACAGCAAGAAAGCACGAGACGAAATTACCTATCATGAGCTTTCTTGTCATTCCCCTATGATCAAACAGTTCTGTTGTGGTTTTGACATCAACATTTCTGTCTTATTTTGATGAATTTAAGCAATTAATATTAAATAACCGGTTGAGAGAATCTATTTCCACGATACAAGTAAGAGGAATTCTCGATTATTTTTTCAAAGCGACTTATCTGGTGCTGTAAACAAATATTCAAACGTCAACTAAACACTTCATTCGAGCAGTTAAAATGACGTTTACTACCACTCGAACTTTGAAATGAAATTATTTTTTTGAGATTTTTTTTTCATAAAAAAATAGAAATGAGCTGTTCTAGTTTTGTGGAATCGCTGGTAGAAAGTCACGCCAAAACTGCTTGACAAAGTGGTCAGTTTATCGAAACTGTTTGCACTCCCTGAAAACCTTGTAAAAAAAGAAGAAGAAGAAGATAAAATGAGCTACTGCCCAATGATCGATTCGATTGATTTTTTCTCATAAGAAATTTTATATTTTATGTCTGAAAACTAGCGGCAGTATTCAAAACTGTTATTAATTCTCTTTAAATAACGATTTGTGGGGGAAAAGGATATGGATAAATGGATGAAACGTGGACATCTCGTACCGTACGTTCCGATTTTGGCAATGTTATGACTGGTTGGTCGTTGGAATCATCAAAGCTATAAACGTTTTTTTTTTTCTTTTTGATTTGTTTTCCGTGCGGAGCACCAATGCTACCGACGCTAGGGAGGCAGCTCCCATACCTGGACCCTACCTATCGACCCATCAACTCATGAACCGGGGACCAACGGCTTTACTTCCCTTCCGAAGGAAGGCGTGATCAGAGATGTTATGCCTCAGAACATCCCGGCGGCGCCAACTGGGATTGAATCCAGGCCTGCTGGGTGAGAGGTAATCACGCTTACCACTACAACACCAGCGCCGCTTAAAGCTAGAAAGGTTAAGTGATGCTCCATTTTCTTCTGACGGTTGGGACATGTGCACCAACTCTTGTCCTAGCCTTTTATGACTTAAGCTGGGTTTAGACAGGGTAAGTCCATTGATTATGTCAGTTGAATTCAACTCACTTGAACGTGAATTGAACCATGCCATTAAACTGACGTGATCAACTCACTTGAATTGAAAAAAAGTTTAACCAGGCTCAACTTTTCAAGCTAATTGAATTCAACTGACTTGATCAATTGACTTGCCCTGTTTAAACCCAGGTTTATGGCTATAGTGCCATTACTCGCTTTTTTGAAAAGAGAAGAGGGAAAGGAAAAGGAGAACGACAAATGGAAAAGGATTATGTGAAATCTGTGAACATAAACAATATTTTTGATTTGAAATATACAATATAGAAATGCACTACCCGAGTCTTGTCACTATTATCAAGTCATAAAAAGTAACAAGGACTAAAATGTGATCCTTTGATTACTGGAAAATCCTGATTCCCTAGTTTTAAATTGTCACGACTAGGCTTCGGTGGTAGATCTTATACCAGTAACGAACAAAAAAAAAAGATGATCTCCCAACGTTACTGGTTTGAAAAGATAAAAATTTACAAAATGAAACGAACTCACCAAGTTAGTCAATTGAACCTGAAGGCTGCCTGACATGTGTTGATGTAGAAGTCCAAATTGTAGATGCAGCTTGACGAAGATCAACATGAACCATACTGGCTATCGTAGTATATACGAAAATATTTCGTCCGTTCCCGGTTTGAACGCTTAGAACCCTACACTATCCTAGTGTAGGGTTCACGAATAACACGCAATGACAGCGGAAGCGGAACGGCAGCGGCCGGGGAGCAGCCCGACCTGAGTAAGCCTACTTGTCGGATTGAAAATTAGTTATATCCAAATCGACTTTGGTTAGGCATCTTGATGCCATTTGTGACAACTGTCACACTTGCCGTTTCCGTTCCGCTTCCTAATAGAAGTACGGACGCAGCTTAGATTGACGAGAATACGTAAATTTCCCTAAGTCAGTCAGAGAAGGCATATACAATTTTATGAATTACACTCAAAAAATTTTACACGTCATCATCATGTGTCTCACACTTAATTTTGCGCTTATTGTAAAACACATCCATTTCATGTTTGAATCTTATGCTATGAATCATACCTAAACACTATGAATCTGAATTGTGACACACTTGGATTCTATGTGCCTCATATTGTGATATCAATAGCTTTGCACATCATAGTTCAATATTCTACAATATTCTACTTTATCGACTTCTACTTTACCGACTCTAAAAATGAATCGACAAATATATAAACAAAACTTCCAGAGGCCAGAGCTTTCACATATCTTTTTAATGGGTCTGATTTGAGATTCGATAATGGACTGTTGGGGTGTGCTTCTGCCGGAGTATTCGTTGGATCCCACTGTACCACGGTTGTTCTCATATATGAGACGGGTTGATAGGATAAAGTTACAACTCTTGTTTTCGATTTTTACCTTTCTGAGCAAGCAATTCACATCGCATTGAAATGCAAAACACTTTAAATCCATCTGTTTTGAACATTAGTGTAATTCAATGTGCAATACTCTTGAATAGATAGTGAAAGATTTTCAACATTTCAAAGTTTGAAACACTAGAAATTAACGTGTATAACACATTGAACCAAGGTGAAATACACTTAAAGTAAATGTGATTGTGCATTTAAAAAATCAAGTGTTTAAGCACTTCGATCAAACGTGTGGAATTTTTTGAGTGTAGTTGATATAGCAAGCTCTCAACCTATTAACCTGTGGAAGTGCATCTAGAACTCTAACGCTGTGTTCCATTTGGTGAATTTTCACTTAAATTTGACAGATGGGAATTTTTCAAATAAACCTGCTATTGTACCAGACTTATTTCTGACAGACAAGGAATCAAGTTTGACAAACACCTTTTCGAAAATTGGAAAATCAACAACAGAGGGATTTTCGAACATTAAAATTTATTTTCGAAGTGTCAAATTTAAGTGAAAATTTACGAAATGGAACACAGCCTAAGGCTGTGAACCGTTTTCTGAGTTAAATTTAGCTCGTGGTTAAAAGTGACACTTCGAAAGTTATTTTCCATGTTCGAAAATCCCCGTGCTGTCGATCGACCGGTTTTCGAGCCACGGTTGTCAAAATTTAACTTCTTGTCTGTCAGAAATAACCATGCTCGGATAGCAGGGTTAATCGATAACTTTTCATCTGTCAAATTTGAACAAAATGTTAAAAAAAACGCCAAATGGTTCAGAGCATGAGGCTGTGAACCATTTACCGAGTTAAATTTAACTCGTGGTTAAAAGTGACACTTCGAAAGTTATTTTCCATGTTCGAAAATCCCCGTGCTGTCGATCGACCGATTTTCGAGAAGAACTTGTCCTAGGTTGTCAAAATTTAACTTCTTGTCTGTCAGAAGTAGCCACGCTCGGATAGCAGGGTTAATAGATAACTTTCCATCTGTCAAATTTTATCCAAAAGTTAAAATAATCCACCAAATGGTTCAGAGCCTAAGGCTGTGTTCCGTTTGGTAAATTTTCACTTATATTTGACACTTCGAAAATAAATTAAGATGTTCGAAAATCCCTCTGTTGTTGATCGGCCGGTTTTCGAGAAAGCGTCTGTCAAAATTGATTCCTTGTCTGTCAGAAATAAGTCTGCTGGAATGGCAGGTTTATTTGAAAATTTTCCATCTGTCAAATTTAAGTAAAAATTCACCAAATGGAACACAGCCTAAGGCTGTGAACCATTTGCCGAGTTAAATTTAACTCGTGGTTAAAAGTGACATTTCGAAAGTTATTTCT